ATATAAAGGGTGCTCTAATGGTTAGTTTTAATCATCAACATGACACATGTTACAATCATCAGGATGGGAGCCTCAGTGAGGATTTGTCTGGATCAGGCTGGTCTGTGGGGACTACCTTAATTATGTTCACTGCCCACTAGGGGCAGCATCTTTCCTAGAGATTGGGGTCCTGAACTGAATAAAAATTATCTGACCACTAAGGTGCATCATTTGTTCATTGCTTTCTGCTCCTGAATGTGGGCTGCTGTGACCAGTGGCTTCACGTTCCTGCCCTTTGACTTCTGCACAGGGTTGGAGATAACCTGGGACTGTGAGCTAAGTAAACCCTTTCCGCTCTGAGCTGCTTTTGTCAAGGTATTTTGTCACGGCAATGGGGAACAGAACTAAGATGGAAGTATATGATCTACAAGTGAAATAAAATACACAGTACTCTTTACTTATAATTTCTATGTATTTTAACTTAAACACAATTTCCTGGTTTTTGTGAAACCATTTATCAGTTTTTATAATTCTGCCATCAACAAAAGTGCTGCAAAATGAGACCACTGTAACAACAAGAGTCTGCTTGTTAAACGAGTATAGATCAGTGCTTTTATTAATGTTAATAAGTAAAAAGTGAGAAGGAATAATTATGAAGGATTTTACTCACTTGTCCAAGATGTACATACTTTACTGGCTGATGTGGGGGCAGCTCTCAAATACTGGATGAATAATTCCTGAATATCCATGTCATTCTCAAAGCAATGGCTTTAGACACATACATCAAATGTTTCTTCTCTTTGTGTACTTGTTTTTTTATATTTTATTTTTATGTGTATTGGTGTTTTGCCTGCATGTATGTCTGGGTGAGGGTGTCCTGGAACCAGAGTTTCAGACAGTTGAGGGCTGCCATGTGGGTGCTGAGAACTGAACCTGGATCCTGTGGAAGAGCAGTCAGTGCTTTTAACTGCTGAGCCCTCTCTCCAGCCACTGTTGACTTGTTTTTATTTTTAAAAAACCCCTTTTTCCATACAATATATTTTGGTCGTATTCTTTCCCGGCCACAGCTCCTCTTGGGTCCTCCCCACCTCCAGACCCATCCAACTTCATATTCATTATCTCTAAAAACAAAACAATAACCATAAAATCAAAACAAAATCCAATAAAACAGAAACTACCAAAATGAAACAAAAAACACAAAAAATACATAGAGTCCATTATGTGTTGGCCAACTACTGCTGGGTAAGGGGCCTGCCCTGAAGTTTGGTTGATATACTCAGTGACAGTCCATTGGAGAAAACTGATTTTTCCCTTTCCTAGAAGACATCAGTTGTGAGTTTCCTAGCAGGTATCAGATCCTTGGTTAGGGGTGGGGCATTCTGCCCTCTTCCCTCTCAGTGCTGGGGTTTTGTCTGGTTTGAACTTTCACAGGTTTTGTGCATGCTGTCATGGTCTCTGCGAATTCACATGTGAATCTGCTCTATTAGTCTAGAAATACTGTTTCCTTGAAGTCACCCAGCACTCTGCCTCTTACAAGGTCTTTTGCATGGTGACCTGAGGAGCCTTGAGTGCCTGTGGGAGTAGGGGGTGGACTAGGGGAGTGGGGAGGTGGGGGTGTTTGATAAAGACATTCCTGTAGCATCAATAATAGAAACTCAGAGACAGATATTGGGGTTCAAGCTGAAGATGAGAGAAGCAAAGCAGCCAGCCAGTAGCTCTTACCTCTCCCAAGGCTGAAATGGAGATCCTGTCTTCCCTGTGACTGGAAACTGATCTCTCATGAGACACTTTACTTCTTTATACACCTCTCTAGTGCTGGGATTAAAGGCGTGAGCTCTGTTACACTTTTAGACTGATTTACTCTTATGTAGCCCTGGGTAGCCATGAACTCACAGAGATCCATCTGCCTCTGTCTCCTGAATCCTGGGATTCAAGGTGTGTGCCACTACCACCTGGCTTCTTCGGCTGTGGCTAGCTTTGCATTCTGATTCTTCAAGCAAGTTTTATTAAATCATAAAGAATATATCACCACACATTCTTTTAGGGCTAAATGCTCCAAAGTCTCTCACTCTCTGTATGTTGTTTGTGGGACTCTGTCAACTTCTGTCACTGCAAGCTTCTCCAGTGAGGCCCTCACAGCAGAATGCCCTCAGGAGTCATTTTATTGTTGTGTTTCTTTACCATAATAGTAATAGAAAGTTTTCCCCTGGGCCTATGACCTCTCTGGTCTCAGGTTCTTCACCACTCACCAGTGTCAGGAATGGTTTCCCTGCTCCACAGTGTTCTACCTCACAGAACAGCAGATACCATCAATGGATGGATCCCAGCAAACAGTAAAGTGTGCTAATATCATCAAGAAACAGTGAACTTTGAGTAGTTATTAGTGAAGCAAATATCTGGATACTTCTATTTGGAGAATACTCATTTCTTTCAACAATCATTTAAACAAATCTGTGTGTGTGTGTGTGTGTGTGTGTGTGTGTGTGTGTGTGTTTTACATTGATCTACTTGGTGTCAGCATTACATCTCCAGATCCTTGGAATGTGCTGGTGTTAGCTAGCAGAGTTCATTTGTCTTGTACAGATCCTAATGTTAAACATAAACACTTGAGAGGACTCCAAAGAGCATGTCACGCCTAAGGATCTTTCCTGATGTCAACACGTTGCTTGGGACCTGGAGCCAGGAAGCAGGGCCTTTTCTGTTGGCTTCATCATTTTGAATCTGTCCCCAGCAAGTGCTGAAATTGTGTGTCTTTTTGTTTCTAGAGTTACAGTGACAGCGATGTGTAACATGGACTTCAGCAGGTTTCCGCTGGACACGCAGACCTGCTCCCTGGAAATTGAAAGCTGTGAGTAGGTGCAGCCTGGCACCAGCACTTAAAACACTTCTCTCGGTGGCAGGTGACAGTGCTCCCAGGAACTCTGCTCTGCTCTTCCTGCCAGATCACCCCTGGGATCAGGCTCTCCTGGGTGACCTGGGATAATCTCCTTTACCCAAAGCCTGTTGATTGACATGCTAGTCACTTCTAGAAAACACCTACACGGGTTGGTGTCTGGTTCAATACATGTGTACCAGACCCAGCCAGTTGACGCATGAGGTCCTGTATCACAGTCAAGGCTTAGCAGGCCTTTAAGAACAGATCACACATAGGCAGATGCTACCTGCAGCTCTAAGAGGTTTCACCTCAGTTATGTCCAGCAGCATGCTGTGCAATTGGGCCCAGTGGCCTCACCTGAAGGGCGTGTGCTGGACACATGGTAGCCCCTGAGAGGATAAGACCACAGTCATGTCCACCAGATTTTTAGGAAATGGACACAACTGGCCTGAGGATAAGCCCATTCTTCACTTGTGCTGCCTGAGAGTGAGTCATGATCTAATCCTCAAGTGATGAATCATTATCTTGTGCAAGAGAAGAAAGAGCCTAGGCTATAAACGAACCATATGAAATCCAGTCAGTATTGAACTGTCTCCATCCTACAGGCAGCACTATCATTTGCAGCTATTGCAGCTGGATTTAGGGTTAGGCTTTTTGTTGGGACGGTGAACCCTTGAACTTAGAAGCCTTGCTCTGATAACTTTTGAGAAACTGGGATGAACTGGAGTTGTCTGTATTGTTTAGATTGCAGTTTGCTATCTTACTCCAAGCCAAGTAGTCTGTGTGGCTTAGGACACAGTGTCACATGGCCCCACAGGCAGGCCTGGCTTGCCTGTTGCCCCCTGCCTGACATGGCTCTCATCTTCCCAGATGCCTACACAGAAGATGACCTCATGCTATACTGGAAAAAAGGCAACGATTCCTTAAAGACAGATGAGAGGATCTCCCTCTCTCAGTTCCTCATTCAGGAGTTCCACACCACCACAAAGCTAGCCTTCTACAGCAGTACAGGTAAGCCTGGAACATGCGGTGAGTGCTGAGGAGGCGTTGTCTTTTGCCAGATGGTCCAGGCTCTATTAAGAAAGCATGTGATTTGGTTGTCACATCAAGTGAACAGAGCTTTGAAACAGAAGACCAGAGTCCTAAATGAAATCTAGTGGGTGGTATGCACCAGGAAGGGGTGACTTGTTTTTCTTTGAGACAGGGTCTCACTCCATTGTCCATGCTACCCTGAACATTATGTAGCCAGGCTTGTGAACTCATTATATGCTATGTATCTAGGCTGGTGAACTCATTATACACTATTATCCAGGCTGTTGAATTTATTATATGCATCCCAGGGGCTGACCTCATCTTATGTATCCAGGCCAGGCCTCTGGCTCATTATCACCAGTGCTAGGGTTATAGAGATATTCCAAGGCAACTAGCTTTGAAGGTAGTTTTTTGTTTGTTTGTTTTACGAGACAGTGTTTCTCTGCAGCTTTGGACTCACTCTGCCAACTAGGCTGGCCTCGAACTCACAGAGATCCTCCTGTCTCTGCCTCCCGAATGCTGGGATTAAAGGCATGCACCACCACTGCCCTGCTTGTAGGTAATTTTAGACCCATCAGTATATCAGAGATAATTACCTAGGAAATGTTAGTCAAGGCTCAAAGGGAAGCCACGTCAGTAGGTTTATTTGAGATGATTGCCTTGTTAAGTTGGCAATACATCCCTGAAATACTCATCAGAGCCTCTCCTCAGTAGCAAGTTTCAATTCAGATTGCTGTTCTCTGTCTCCCTGGGTGCACTACTACTACCCACACCCCCTGGTCATCATGTGGACCTGGCTGTGACTGTATGAGTCAAAGGTCTGCACAGGACTTATCACCTCCTATTGCCTGAGGCTGTGCTCTGTGGACTTCCCCAGCTGCTGGCCTGTGCTGGTAGACAGCTAAGGGTTAACATTCTCCATCCTTGCTTCTGTTTTGATCACTCAACTCTCAGAAGGTTCTGCAGTTTCTCTTGCTGGCCCTCCACCTTGTAAGCACATCCTGATCCATTAAAGAGCACTGATACCCAATTTAGTGTATTAGTCCAACTCAAAGGCGTCACTCACCCTTGTGCTTAGTCGTTTAGGTCTCAGTCTTCTGAAAGTCCCGAACTTTCTAAGTTCTGAAAATGTCTGAACTTCTACGAATCTCCCATATGACTGTAAGGCTGATGGGCCTTGGCCATATTTTGAGAAACAAGGCTTTAAATGACCTTCTCAAGGGATTCCCTTTGTGTTTATGAAAGGGACAGAGATTCCTTATAGTGGGTTCACACAGGTGGTGAGGGTTACCACATGTCACTGCCACTGTTTAAGGTATAGTTCCAGTGTGAGGTCTAAGACACTTAGGATTCTACAAATAAAACTATTTCTCAAAGGAGCCAAGCAGCTATGTTGCATGCTGTCTTTTCTTCCTTTGTCCCCAGGCTGGTACAACCGTCTGTACATTAATTTCACTTTGCGTCGTCACATCTTCTTCTTCTTGCTCCAAACCTATTTCCCTGCCACCCTCATGGTCATGCTGTCCTGGGTGTCCTTCTGGATTGACCGCAGAGCTGTGCCTGCCCGTGTCCCCTTAGGTAAGGACTGTTTCGAGTGTGTAATACACGTGTCTGAAAACCCAAGGCATTCCTTTCACCCTTCTCAAATAGGCCTTGCAATCTTCACAGCATAACTTGGAAATGCTTCAAGGCACAGATTTAAGTAACACCACACAATCTAAGTGCCACATGGAAATCTGTCCAGGTCCCTGTAGCTGTCCATCCAAGCAGCTTACTGTCCCCCTCCCTGCCACCCCCTACTCCCTATATTTGGGTGCTTTCCTTGCAGGTCTGTAGAATGTATTCTGTAACAATGTTTCTCAAAGGGTGCCCAAGGGATCTTTGCAATAGAACGAGGGAATTATTAAAAAGGAAAAGACTTGGGCCCCATCATATATTCAGTCAGATTCCCCGAGTTTTCCTACACTCCCTCACTTCCTTTCTCAGCACCCCATCAAATGTCCTCATCTTAGACACTGAGCCCACTTAGTCACAGCCACCGTTATAGCCCAGACAGCTCAGACTGCAAGTGGCACGGTGACCCACCAAGCTTCAGTGAAATGGTTTGGAGCTGGCCCTTGGGGTGACCTCAGTCCTCTGTGAGTTAATGTTTTCCAAGCAAATGTTCTGAGCTTAATTTGCAATCCTAGGCAATTTCCACAGACGATGCCCTTTTCTCCAGCAGTTAACTGTCACTCCAATGGCTACTGAGCCGGGTGCCTGTGTGAGCTCATAGCAACATCTGTCTCCTATAAATAAAACAATCCTGGTGAAACTGAACTTAAGGAGCTTAAGGTAGTCCTGCTGGAGGAACACACATGTCCAGTATGGGGTGGCTGTCAGCTGAAGAGACAGTTCCAGGTTATAGAACTTTTATGACACTAAGGAAATAAACCCCATGCCTTCCTTCAGCACTCAGTCGCTTACATCTGTATCTCCTTTCCTGAGTTAATGGAAGGAAATACCTTCCTGCCAAAGTGTCCGGGGCATTCCGCAGAGAGGGTGTGATTGGTGCTGTAATGGATATGTCAGTGTACAGGGGAGGAGGAGATGAGGGGCCGAGGATTACTAGCTCTCAAAGACAGGAGGGTATTCACCAGAACTGGCTGTCCAAGCCAAAGCAGAACAAAAGGCAGAGCCAAGGAAGGACAAAGGACAGTGTTTGCAAAAGCAAGCATGTGCTTATTTCTCACTGTTCACGGCAGGCATCACCACGGTGCTGACCATGTCCACCATCATCACGGGTGTGAACGCCTCCATGCCCCGAGTGTCCTACATCAAAGCCGTGGACATCTACCTCTGGGTCAGCTTCGTGTTCGTGTTCCTCTCAGTGCTGGAGTACGCAGCCGTCAACTACCTGACCACAGTGCAGGAGCGGAAGGAACGGAAGCTCCGGGAGAAGGTGATTTTACCATTACATAGACTGGGCTGCCGTTGGGACTGTGGGCAGGTAAAATGAGGCTGTGATATCCTCTTCTCAGCTTACTTCCAGCCATGGTCATGAATATTTGACATTTACATCTTTCATTCAATAAAGGCATTCATTTAGCATGTACCATCCCAGCAGCCACTAAACCAAATTAAGACATGGTCCATTTAATTGTGGTTGTGTCCAGTTTAGTGAGAGAATTCCAGGAGGGAAATTAATGGTAATTTAACACTGTAGAACATACTATTAACAAATATGGGGGTGGTTTAAAAGACGCTTCCAGGGATAACCATCCTCTATCCTAAGAAACTTCCCTTCATATATGACCTCATATCTCCCATCATTTATCTTTCCTCCTGCCCTTCCTTTTCCTTCCCAGCCTACAACTTAGAGCCCCTCTCTTCCAGCAACACCTTACTATATACTATTCCTAAAGTGCTGTATTTCAATCCCAACCAAATAACATCATCGGTAAACATTTTTTTATGAAGGGTTTGGTCTAGGTGTGGTGTCACCAACCTGTAATCAATCCAGTTACTCAGGAGGAGAGTCACAAGTTGGACGCCAGTCTGGGTAACTTAGCAAGACTGTCTCAAACAAAACAAATGAAAAAAGGGTGTAGCTCAGTATAGTACCCTTGTTTAACATACACAAGGCCCTGGGTTTGTCCCCAATGACCCCAAAGGGGACATGGAATGAGCTCAGGGATTATGACTTCCTGGAGGACAGGGATAGCCTGTGTTAGTGTTCTTGGTCCCTGGTACAACAGTGTGCTCTTTCCTATAAGTTAACACGTAGATGTTAGTTCATGACCCAGTTCTCTGCACCGTGCTGATGCTTCAACCCTGATCTCGAGGCTGTTGGTAAGCTCTCTGATATAGTGCTGTGCTTACAGCTGTCTTGGGAGGCTCACATTGACCACCATCATGCTTTTGCTTATCTTTTCCCCCAAACTGAGAGGGTAGAGGGTAACACACTTCATGCACAGTGCTTTCCCAGGTGTCTGAGGGACAGTTCTCAGCTCACGTATCCCTGTGTGTTTGCAGATCTCCTGCACCTGCGGACTGCCCCAGCCCCGAGCAGTGATGCTGGATGGCAGCTACAGTGATGGGGAGGTGAATGACCTGGGTGGCTACATGCCTGAGAATGGAGAGAAACCTGACAGGATGATGGTGCAGCTGACCCTGGCCTCTGAGAGGAAAAGCCAGAGAGGCAGCTATGTGAGCATGAGGATCAACACCCATGCCATTGATAAATACTCCAGGATCATTTTCCCAGCCGCTTACATCTTATTCAATCTGATATACTGGTCAATTTTCTCTTAGAATTCTGTAAATCTCACCTTCTTCATGGTTTGTATGCGTCACAGAAACTGTTGTATAATGACAAAGTATGGTTGAAAACCACCCCGGTGCCCACCTGGGTTTTCACTGTCGCTTCTTTAGCTTTCCAAAGCTGCACTAACAAGACACCTTTTTTTGCATGTATTAAGCATCAGTTGTATACACAGCATTATACAAGGTGTTGCAGGAATTTGTCAGGATAGCAACTGTTATTAGCTGTTCCCAGATCCCAGGAAGAGCACAGAGACCACATATGGATATGCTGCAATTCAGTGTTGGGGTTCTGGATGCTGTTCACACGGAGGGCTTCCTTCATGGGTGGCACTGTGTGCTTTAGACTAGGTAGAACTGGGAGTACATGAATAAAACTCATTTGCATGGAGCTCACATTCACATAAACCCATTCTGATGAAAGGGTCCATTCCTGCACCTGCTCTGTGTCCACCATAATTAATGAAATGCCCATAGGATCTTTTTAACAAGCTGTATGTATCTCCCCTTACAAGAAATGTTCTTTAGATTGCTGACTTTCCTCTGGTAGGTGAGTAAGCTAGAGAACCACGTTCCTTTCCCTGCTTTCTAGTCACTGTTTTGTACCTCTCTACCAGGAAGCAGGGCTTTCTTCAAAAATGAAGTCTTTTCTCAGTAGCATGATATTATCACAGAAGAGCTCGAAGAAGTATTAATTTCTTCCAAATAATCAGCATTTCTAGGAAACTTGGGGCTGCTTATAGCTCATGAAAATGAGAAACACACAATTTCTTAAGATAAAATAACATAAAAGCCAGGTGATGGAGATGCACGCCTTTAATCCCAGCAGAGGCAGGCAGTTCTCTGTGAGTTCAAGGCCAGCCTGGTCTATGGAGCAAGTTCCAGGGCAGCTTCCAAAGCTACAGAGAACTGCTGTCTCAAAAAAGAGGAAGAAAATAACATGAGAAAGCAAAACAGACAGGTATCTGCATTTCACTCAGTGAGAGCCAGCACTGTCTAGGAACTAGACAGCAGTTGTCATCTAGACTGAGTATACAATAGACCAGATAAGGTAGCCCAGTAGCAACTGATGTCATGGGCTGTAATTTGACGTATTATTTTAAAATGGTGTTTAAAAAAATAAGTCTTCATGTTGTCTATCTAGAAGGCATATAACAACTGCAACCAAAGTTGCCCAAACAGCATTTAACAGCATGGCCTTTCCTCTGGGCCACATCTTTCACTCACAGAGGCAGGGGCATCTAGTCACATCTCAGCAGCCACTAAGCTGACTTACCAAAGACACGGCCCTTTAACTGTGGTTGTGTTCAGAGGTTAGTGAGACAGAAATGATCATTTAACATTGTGGAACATACTAATAAATATGGAGGTTGCCTAAGAGACCCTTGCAGCCAGCACCACCCAGCCTCTGTGTTAGGAAACTTCTCTTCATATATGTCCTTATATCTCCCATCATTTCAAAGTTAACTTGACGAATCAACACCAAATAATGTATGCATGGCTATACCTTATTCTGATTTTTAAGAAGAACTGCTTGCAAAGTCCTACTTAGAAGATAATCTTTCATTTCCCCCAATGAAAGGTCACCAAAAGCTTTGTTCAAACTGAAGTAGTAAACTTAGAAGGACATAAATTATACTCTTAATTATCATTGATATCCTATCAAAATGAGTGCTTTGTCAAGCATGGTTTGTACATGCCTGTGATCTCAACACTTGGAAAGTAGAAGTGGGAGTACCGAGAGTTCAAAACTGGCCTTAGCTTTATAGCATTTTGGAGGCCAGCCTGGACTATGTGAGGTTTAAAAAGATTGATTTTTTTCATTTTTATTTTATGAAACAACTACTGTTAAAGTCAACATCTTTGCCACTGTCTTCTCCCTCAGCACTAGGTCCACTGAGCTGTCTAGGCTTCCAGATCTAAACTAAAGCTTACCTACTATTTGGAATACCACAGCATTTGAGACAGTGTGTAGAATGCTCTAGTAGAATGCTTATCTGCTATATCAAAAGACTGCAGACCAAATGGCTTGATGAGCAGAGATTTCTTCTCTCACAGTTCTAGAGACTAGTATCCAAGGTTAAGGTGCTGGCAGACATGATTTCCCCAGAGGCCTCTCTCTCCTCCTGACTTTCCAATGGCCACCATCGTGCTGCATCCTTGCCTTCTTTCCTTTGTACCCACCTATGTCCAGATCCCTTTCTCCCTAGTTATATTTGGTCAGGCACACATCAATGGCCTCATTTAACCTGAGTTACTTCTTTAGAAGCCTTGTCTCCAAACCATTTGTTCTGTAGCAATCTCCAAGTTGGAATACTTTATCTTGGAGGGAAGCTCCTTAGGACATGCTAAAAGAAGGTAATGCCCTCCATCCCATAGGGAAGAAGCCCATTCAAGTTAAGCTCTGGAAGCAAACAACTCAAAAGTTTCAGAAAGTCCCTGAAACTAAAGATAAAACTATCGCCCTCCAACAAGTATATATAAGCAATAAGAGCCACCAAGAGTCACTTTCAGATGATCTAAGCTGTCCGGGAGAGGCAAAAACCAGCTAAGCTACCTGGAAGGGACACTTTCCAACCCGTCCAGCTGCCTGCAAGTCCTGCAGTGAGCTCCAGATTTTTGGCTATTGTGAGCTTTCATCCATGATCGGGTGGGCTTTGGTGATGCAGCTGTCTTTGAATCATTTCTGTACCTCTAAGTAACCCCAATAAATCTCATTGCTTCACCAAGTTGAACTTTTGTGGTATCCTTAATTTGGTTTATTATTGGTTTCCTATCTGGAGTGGTACATGTTTGCTCACATATGCACAGAAACTGTCACACAACACCATCATGTGAGTTCCATTAATACATGCCCATGGAAATCCATTTGTATCACAATACACCTAATACTTTATAAGTAGTTATACTATATCATTTAGGGACAGAACAAAGTCTGTCCTCTGTTAGAGTAAATATCTTTATTAAATATTTGGGTATATGTATTATGGTAGTTTGAATGTAACTAGCCCTCATAATCCCAAAGGGGGTGGCACTATTAGGAGATGTGGCATTGTTGAAGTAGGTATGGCCTATTTGGAGGAATTGTGTTATGGTGGGGGTGAGATTTGTATTATTTTTTGCTTAAGCTTAGCTCAATGTCACAGAAAAAATGTGACAAGAAAAAGTCTGGGGACTGGAGAGATGGTACAATGGGTAAGAGCACTGCTGCTCAAGTTTGAGGAACAAGGTATAAATCACCAGAAAGTTGTGTGTGGCCATGTGCATGTCTGCAACAGTAGTGCTTTGGTGTGTGTGTGTGTGTGTGTGTGTGTGTGTGTGTGTGTGTGTGTGTGTGTACGCATGTATGTGTGTATGCATGGGTATACATGTGTGCTTGTCTGTGTCAGTGTGTAGAGGCCAGAAGTTAACACTGGGATGTGTTTCCCCAGTCACTTCTCACCTTCACATCTTTTGGAGATGGTCTCTCACTGAATTTCAAGCTGGCTTTTTGGCTAAACTTGCTGCATAGGAAGGCCCTGGAATCTTCCGGTCTCTGGACCAGCACTGGGCTTCCACGCAGCACTCCCATACTCAGCTTTCCTATGGTTTCCAAGAATCTTAACCAGGACCTCATGCTTGCAGCAATCAGTTCCCTACTGAGCTATCTCTCTAGCCACCCAACCCCCTATTGTCTTTTATTGAAAATAGGGTTTTTTTTCTTACACAATATATCCTGATTATGGATACATATGGATATATATCCCTCTACTCTTCCCAGTCCTTCTCACCTTCCCATCCAAACCTACCCCCTTTATGTCTCTCACTAGTGTCTGACTGTGGGTCTCTGTCATGAAATATCTTATTTCTCCCTCTATTGTGATTGAAAGTTTTGCTGGGTATAGTAGTCTGGCCTGGAATCTGTGGTCTCAGAGCCTGCAATACATCTGTCTAGGCCCTTCTGGATTTTAGTGTCTCCTTTGAGAAGTCAGGTGTTATTCTAAGTCTGCCTTAACTTGTTACTTGGTCTTTTTCTCTTGCAGCTTTTAATATTATTTGTTCTGTACATTTAGTGTTTTGATAATTATGTGCCAAGGAAACTTCCTTTTCTGGTCCAATCTATTTGGTGTTCTGTGTGTTTCTTACACCTTTATAGGAATCTCCTTTAGGAAATTTTTCTATGACATTGTTGAAAATATTTTTGGGGCCTCTGAGCTGAGATTCTTCTTTCTCTATTCCTATTATTCTTAGGTTTAGTGTTTTCGTAGTGTCCCAGATTTCCTGGGTGTTTCGTGTCAGGAGTTTTTTAGATTTAATGTTTTCTTTGACCAATATATCCATTTCTGTCATATCTTCAACACCTGATACTTTCTCTTCTAGCTCTAGTATTTTGTTGGTGAAGCTTGCCTCTATAGTTCCTATTTGAATTCCTAAATTTTTCATTTCCAGAATTGCCTCATTTTGGGTTTTCTTTATTGATTTGATATTGATTTTCACTTTCAGGTCTTATATTCATTTCCTTCCACTGTGTGTTTTCCTGGATTTCTTTATTCCCCCTTCATAAGGCAGTTTTAGGTTTTTTTTTTTCCTTTCTTTCTTGTGCTTCGCTTTGTTGGAGTTGAGTTTGCTGTGGTAGGATAGCTGGGCTCTATGGAGATATATTGCCCTGGCTATTATTGTTCTAATCCTGTTATCTAGGCATCTGGGATTGGGATGATAATAGGTCTAGATGCTGGTTTCTGGATTTGTCTTTGTTGGGTGGGTGTTTTGTTCCTTGGTTTCTGTTTTCTCTCTAGATTTTTAGATAGTATGATGACTGTGTATAGCCTAGTGGGAAATTTTCTTTGGACCTGAGAGTTGTGGCCACTGAGAGTTCCAGGTAAAAATGTGTTTCTGGATATTGGGAGCTGACACTTAAGAATGGGGACAGGCTAGGAGTCTGAGGGGTTTGTCCTCAGGCCCTGAGGCTTAGAGAATACCTGCTGGTATTGGAGACTGGGATACTGGGATGAGTTGGGGGAAAGAAGGTTGGAGGAGGAGGTCTTTGTGGTCCTTGGGGATGGGGACAGAGAGGAAAGGGAGACAGCGGCAGATGTTCTGCTATACAGCTGGGGACGGGACTGAGGGGGTTGTGAATGGAGGGGCAGAAGATCTGCAATCAGCCTATCTGCTTTCCCTGAAAGCCGTGGCCTTTGGGTTAGCAGGGTATGCATGCCTGCAGAGTTGGAGGTTGAGATAAGGCAATGAGTGGGTGTATCATGACAAATAAAAGACCCAGAGACAGATACTGGGGTTCAAGCTTCAAGCTGAAGATCAGAGAAGCAAAGCAGCTGACCACTAGCTCTTACCTCTACCTCAGTTCAGACCAAAGGGGCAATCCTCAGTCTGCTCCCGACTTCACTCCTCAGATTCACTCAGATTGCTATGTTCTCCTCGGCGTGGCTAGAGACTAACTCTCAGACTGAGTGCCAGCTCTGAGGCCCTGCTCCTGTTTTATATACCTCCCTAATGCTGAGATTAAAGGTATGTGATCCCAGGAGCTGAGATCACCTTTGTGTGAACTGTTTCAGGACTGGATCAATTTCGTGTAGTCAGTGTGGCCTTGAACTAATAGAGATCTGTTTACCTCTTAATCCTGAGTCCTGGGGTTAAAGGTGTGTACCACCACCACCTGATCTCTATAGCTTGAGACTGGCTTTGCTTTCTGAATCCTCAGACAAACTTTAATAAATCATAAATAATGTATTGCCACAGTGGGGAAAGGTGGTTAGAGGGGAAGATCTGTGAGATGCACAGTAGATGAGGCCTGGGGCAAGGAAGGCTGTAGCAGGATTTCTGTTACAGAGCTGGGGATGAGACTGAGGGGTTGGGTCTGGAGGAACAGGGGAAGATGAAGATCTGTAGTCTACCTACCTGCTTCCCTGGCAGAAGGCCCTCAAAACACTTAAGAAATGAATAGGAAACAGAGGATCTCTGGTGTTAAATAAAGGAGATAAAAGCTTTTCCCTCTATTCTCTAGACATCATAGTGTCTGTATTAGACAGGGTTCTCTAGAGTAATGGAACAGAATGTACATAAGAAAATGGGGTCACTAGGGTGGCTTATACAGCAGAGGTTGAGCAAGCCCATCAATGGCCATCTATAAACTGGAGAGGCTAAGAACCTGGTAGCTGCTCAGTCCATAAATGGGATGCCTCTGCAGTCCTATCTGGCTCTGAAGGCCTGCCAGACTCTTGATGAGTGCTGGTGGCCTCTGGTACAGAGGGGGCAGGGCAGCAGCAGTAACAGCAATGGTTGATGCAATATGCTCCCCAGAAAGAATCTAGGCAGGCAGGCAAGATGGCCTTTTGCTTGGCTCTCTTTAAATCTAGGCTGCAGCTAGAAAGTTCCACCCTCTCTGGGGAAAGGTTGTCTTAAGTAATCTACTCTGGAAATGCACTCATAGACCACATCTTTTAGTGGATTCTAGATCCTGGCAAAGTGACAAGATTAACCATCACAGTGTCTTTCTTTACTTCTTGGTAGGTGACTGTGCTATTAAGATAGTCCTTCTCTACTTATATGTGATACCTGAGAGAGGGGAGTTGGGGAGAGAGGCAGACAGACAGACAGATTTCATCCTTTATGGATGAGTATCACTCCATTTTTTAAATATGCTGTCACCTTGGTAAAATATCTGAGGATAATCAGTAAAGGAAAGGTCTAATTTGGTCCATAGTTTCAGGCACAGTGGCTTGGCCTTTTGTCTTTGGGACTGTAGCAGCATGACCAATCATGACAAGCTCATAGTCCCTGTGCACTCATGGCATCTGGGAAGCAGAGACAAGCAGAAGGGCTAAGATTCCAAGGTCCCTTCAAGTGCATGAATCTAGTAACTTAACTTACTCCACTTGGGCCCTACATCATAAAGAATCCTGCACATAATAGACATTCCTACATATCCTGCTCTGCTACCATAGGATTTTCTTTACTCCTCTGGGAGAATTGCCTCCACCTGCCCAAGGAATGTTGCAGGCAAGATGTTTCCTCCTGTCCCTCAGCTGTGCTGCCTGCTTCTTACATGTTCAAGGACATTATGCAAGCAGACTCCATTCAGCCCTGAGATCCTGTCTGTAGATAGAGTTGATCCAAAAATTAGCAGCTATGCTAGATATGAAAAGTTTAAAACACCCACAGACACTGACATAAAATATAGAATCAAGTGTAAAAAACATTAATTATAGACTCTATTAAATGATTAAAGTCTCATCAAATTAACAGCAGGAGAAAACCTGACTGCACTCTTAAAACAAAACAAAACAAAACCACAACACTCCACATTTAAGTCTCATCAACTTTCTAAAATCAAGCATTCATCTCTTGAGAACAAAGAGCTAAAGCTGTGCACAATGGCACACCCCTCTGTCCAGCTACTCAGGCTGGGCTAGAGAATTTGAGGCTAGTCTGGTCAAGGCAGCAAGCAAGGCCCTATGAAGAACAGCAGCAACCAACCCAAGAAACAAATAGAAAGGAAAACCAGGACCTTCCCATCCTTACCTAAAAGTGCCATTGTTTATCCATGAGTAAAATTTAATTTTACTTTTAAAAAGGTAAATCAAATACAGAACACACATTTAAGTAACAGCTATGACGATCTGCAGAGGATGGGTATATCAGTAACAATCGCTGTTCTCTTAATTTTGTCAAGGTCTTAGGAAGTGAAACCAATGCCCTGTCCTGAGCTGGGTGGGGATGCAGCTCAGTGTTAGAGGTCCTGTCTTGCATAAGCGAAGCCCTGGTCTCAGTATCCAGCACTGCAATAACCAAAACCAAACCAACCAGCAAAAACCTGTGAGATACTCATAAACCTGTTACTGAGGAGATAAACTCCATCTCTGACATGTCTTATTCTTTGACTGCAGCTTTCATGGATACTCCTCTTTATATAAAGTGATACCAAATATGTTGAACTCAGTTGTGAAATCCAGACAAAGAGTGTCATGAAGGAGTGAGTTCTCAATGCTGTTTTGAGCTGGTGTGCAGAGTAAAGTCTCAGGACTTACTGGGACAGGATGAGGGGAGTAGTACTAGGCTTCTGTTTAGAAGGACAAAGCTGAGAGTGGAACAGTCCAGATCACTACTTCAGGAAGTCTCCATCTACACAATCAAATGTTTTCAATACAAGGCTTGAAGTTTTACCCAGAACATTTGAGAGGATGGAAATAAGAAACAGTCCAATGGAATGGGCTGGCAAGTTTGTTTAGTGAAGGGCCAGACAGTAAATACTTTTTTTTTTTTTTTTTTTTTTTGGTAGTGGGTTTCTTTAAAACTCTAAAAATGCAAAAAGTATTCTTAGTAAACTGGCTGCACAAAAGCAAGTAAGCAAGCAAACACCAGCTTCAGATCAGGTCAGGGTATAGCAGAGAGCACTTCCTAGGTGGCGCACGCCTTTAATCCCAGCACTCAGGAGGCAGAGGCAGGCAGATCTCTGTGAGTTCGAGACCAGCCTTGTCTACAAGAGCTAGTTCCAGGACAGCCTCCAAAACCATAGAAAAACCCTGTCTCAAAAAAAAAAAAAAAAAAAAAAAAAAAAAGCACTAACTCTCAAAACTACACATCAAGCAGCAAGTAGAGGCTGGAAGAACTGAAGGAGATTAACCTTCCAAATGAAAGTGGTCAGGAAAAGTGACTTGCTTCTGCCCCAGAAGCCAAATGCACTTTGCTGCCTCCGTCCACTTTCATTTCTAGTGTGCCTCCTCAAATCTGAGGACTCGATTTACAGCAAAGTTCACTAGTGCCTAAGAGTCTGTCTTATCAGCTTTTTCACACTCTTATGTGCAAAGAGTTCATACTAAATGGTGGTGTGCCGTGCTCATGCCTACAACCCCAGCACTTGGGGGAGAGGGGGAACAAAAGGAAAACTTGTCTGAAACTCAATCTCACTAAAAAGAAACTCATGACTAAGTAAGAATCATGAGAAAATGTTGGTTTTATGTGACTCTCTTCCCATCTTTTCCAGGATTATTGTTGACAGTGGTTTTACTGACAACCACTGAAATGTTTCAAATTTCTAGGTAAAATCCTGGCTTTCTCATAATAAGAACTCTGTTTTGTAGTTCTACAAATGCTCTGGTGGCACAAAGGCAGAAAGTGAGTCAAGAAGACAAAAAGAGACGGTCCAGAGAAAAGGCTAGAAACTCAATTAAGCCACAGCATGAGGACACAGGGGCTGCCTTTCCAAGTTTCTTTTATTACTGGGCCAGCAATGCTAAGGAAGGCTTCTGCAGGGCAGCTGGCTGCTGGCTGCTGGGTGGTGGGAACCAGGGCTGGACACTGGAGAACAGAGCACATCCAGCCTGTATTCCTCTTCCAGCTCTTGTAACATCCTGGGTACCACACAACAGCCTACTCTATGGGAAAAGCCCAACCCTGCCTTTCTATCATTTTTTTTTTCTGTTATTGACTGTTACACTGTGGCTATGCCACTTCTTGGAGTAATTACATGCAAATAAAGATCTTTAAAAACAAACAAACCACGTCGAATTGTGTTCCCAGCCGTAGCCTCTTGCTTTCGGAGCTCCAGCGGAAGGAGAAGCTGGTAATTGAGGTGTTCATACCATGGCTCCTACAAAGCATACTGCCCACAAATCCACCGGTGGTAAAGCATGCAGGAAACAACTGGCTACAAAAGCCACGCGCAAGAGTGAGTCCTCTTCTGGAGGGGTAAAGAAACCTCATCGTTACAGGCCTGGTACTGTGGCACTCCGTGAAATCAGACACTATCAGAAATCCACTGAACTTCTGATTCGCAAGCTCCCCTTCCAGTATCTGATGCGAGAAATTGCTCAGGACTTCAAAAGAGATCTGCACACCCAGAGTACAGCTGTTGGTGCTTTGCAGGAGGCAAGTGAGGCCTATCTGGTTGGCCGTTTTGAAGATTCCAGCCTATGTGCAATCAATGCTAAGTGTGTAACAATTATGCCAAAAGATATCCAGCTAGCACGCCGCATATGTAGAGAACATGCTTAAGAGTCCACTATGAGGGGAAACATTTCATTCTCAAATTTTTTTTTCCTCTTCCTGTTATCAGTAGTTCTGAATGTTTAGATATTTTTTTCCATGGGATCAAAATGTACCTAAGTATATGATTGCGATTGGAAAAATAGGGGACAGAAATCAGGTATTGGCAGTTTTTCCATTTTCATTTATGTGTGAATTTTAATATAAAGCAAAATGTTTCAGTGAATACATTTCAACAGTTCAATTTTATGACAATTATAAATTAACCTGTTAAAATTTTCTGGACAATACCAGCATTTGGATTTTTTTTAAATAAGTAAATTTCTTATTGGCAGCAACTAAATGGTATTTGTAGCATTTTTGTCATACAGTAGATTCCATCCATTCACTATACTTTCCTAGCAGAGTTGTCCTCATGCCAAGTACATGTTTTTAATGGTGTCTGTCTTCTGTGCTGTTCCTGTAAGTTTGCTATTGAAATACATTAAACTATAAAAAAAAAAAATGTTAGAAGTAAAGCTAATTCTTTGTACTGGATATTCTAGGTGTGTCCTACAAGCATATGGTTAAGTTTTTCTCTAGACCAAAACAGATCCAGTTAGACTTAAACTCCCCCAACTTTAAACTGCTAACACATCCACTACTCTGAACACAGAGTTCATGAGTTTTAAAATCTGTTGGACTTGTAAGACTATACAAAAGGCACACTTACAAAACATTACCTTACCGTGGTAGAGAATCACAAACCAATGCCTGAAATATCACAAATTCCATTAATGTCTTCATTATATTCTGTTGCATTGAAAAAGTGTTAGAGGGAAAAACAAACATCAAAACTTAGTGCTTCCTGAGAGTCCCTAAGTTCTCCTCCTATGCTGGTGTATTTAAAAGCTGTTCTTCTTGAAGCTTCGATTTAAATTCCTCTCTGATTCCTTCCAGCAACTCAGGCTTAAAGATGACATCCAGTGCAGTCATTGCCAGAGCCTTGGCTGTACGCAAGGTATACAACTGAGCTTCTTGTGATCCTGAAAGGTAAAGAAAACAAATTAAAATACCTGTATATGTATTAAAAAGCATTTATTAATTCCCCTGTTTACCTCTCTAAACCGCCTCTCCTACTTCTAAGCACAAGACAGTATTTCCTGAAGCAACGTTAGTGAATAACAGGCTAAAGAGCAGCAGCAGAGAACCCTGAGTACCCACACCACATGCTCACCTGCAGCTTCTGTGTACTGTTCCGTGTGGTTCAAGGCATCAGTTCCAATGTAAAAATATGGGTGGATCCCGGGAACCACAAAACTGACATTTCCAAAATCAGTAGAGCCTTGAAACAAAGAAGGAAGAAAAGGATGTTTGATTAAACATTCTGAATGATGAAGTTATAACTAGAATCCTATACTGGGTCATGACTCAGGCCTGTTAGGATGGGGAGAGCTGTCGGCTGGTGCTTACACCCACTCCCACCTCCACCATAGCCAAGCTGCTCTCACAAAGGGATCTCCAGACCTGTCCTCGCCCAGCCACAAAGCCTGCTCCACTAGTGCCCCACTGAGAACTCTGATGACTCCTCCTGTCTCAGGCTAAGACCCCTCTACTTTCTAAGATTGGTTCCTTGAGACTTGATGCCAGTCCTTTCCTCTTCTCACACTGTATTCTCAGATCTTCCCCTATTTACTGCTTCAAATTAGTAACTCATAATGCATTCTTAGTTCTCCTCCAACCCCCTTGCTTACACATCTTATTGTCCACCTGACAGTTCTTCCATGGATGTCTTACAGTAGATCACACTCAACATAGCTAGAATCAAATTCATTATTGCCATGTTCTGCTACATGCCACCTACTAACACCACCTCCCAAACACCTCAGAATCATGTGTTCTTCATCACCAACACCTACTTCTGCCTGAGCCAATTAGGAACAGTCTCCAGCAGAATCTACTCCATCTGTTAATATTTTGTGACCTTAACATATCTGACACCACTCACCTTTCTAAGCTGATCTCATGCTAACAGTCCCACTAAGCCTCTACAGCTGCTCTGAACAGCCACCATGCTCTACTCATCATAGGACTTCTGCATATACTCTTCGTGTGTTTTTTAAATTTCTATTTCTTTTTTTGAGACAAGGTATCATGTGGTCATGGATGGCCTCAAACTTTGTATGTAGCTAAGGATGACCCTGAGCCTCTGATCCTCCTGCCTCTCTCTCCCAAGCACTGAATTACACAAGATACCACTATACTTGGTTTATACAATTCTGGGGTAGAACCCAGGGCTTCATGCATGCTAGGCAAGCACTCTACCAAATGAGCTACATTCCCAGTCCTTCTGTTACCCTACCTTCTACCATTCCCTAAGCCAGCCTTTTTTCACTTCCCTGGTAAGACCAATTTCTCTACTGGAGGGTTTTACAGTATGTACAATAATAACAATATCACTTCAGTTTTAGTTTATGACTTATTGGGTTATTTGGCCAATGTTTTTTTACCAATACATTAGTCAAGAACAGTATTTTAAGTTGCCACACATCCAGCTGGTCACATGACAGATGCTAACATTTGCTGAATAGATCATAATAAAAGTAAAGCTTTAGACTAATTCAATGAACATTTACTGATAAACACCGTGCAAGGCACTTAGAGCACATATGGGTAGATATAAGGGAAGGAAAACAAAACATGCAGCCAATAGTAACAGAAATTACTTTGTTTAAAACTAAGAATTTCATACACATTCTCACATTATTTAATTTTACATTTTGACCTTTTTGTTTGTTAAGATGGGTTCTTGATATATAGCACTGGATAGATTTGAACTTGTGATCCTCCTGTCTCAACTTCCTGAGAACTGAGATTATAGTTATGTACACTACACTCAGGTTTCTCATTTATATTTGAACAGTTCTCATTTTGTGAAGGAAGAAACTAAGTCTTAGAGACCCTGGTAAAGGTAGGTGGAGGTTAGGGTTTGGAGTGCAGTTTCTGATAATTACACTAAGCACTCTGTGGTGTATGTATACTGGTAAACTGTCTTGTGTTGATGGAGCTCACTGAGAAGCCAGTTTGGGAAGCACAGTTGTCCCCATCCCATTTCAGACCCAAGTATGTTTGTCTAAAGTGTCCTCCAGGGTTCCTTGTCTGAGGATATGCTGACTCTCCTAACTGTGACAGCAAAGCAGCCCAAGTGTAAGTGTACTGTATCCTGGAGCACAGCGATGAGTCAACCATGTCCAAGATCTGTATTGTTTATCCCATCATCTAAACACTGCAGTAGGAAAGAGCAACTGGAAGTTCAGCTATGGAGAGAAAGTGTAACTGGGAACTCTAGCTGACTGCCTCAACTTCTGGAGTCAGCTTCTGCTAGAGGTTGTGAGCACAAATTCGATGGCATTATTGCTCTATTTGTCATTTATTTGGAAGCTATCTGAGAGTCTATACATCTCCTATCCAATACCCCCCAGTGGTGACATATTACAAAACTACAATCCTGTACTACAACCAGAATAGTAATACTAATGTAGTCCAAGATGGGGTACATAACTACAAGAGAGCTTGCCAAGAGCATGCATGAAGCCCTGGGTCTGATCCCCAGCACAAACCAAACATGGAGGCCCACGTCTATAATCCCAACACTCAGGAGGTAGAGGCAGGAATGATCAGTCCAAGGTCACCCTCAGCTACATAACAAGTTCAAAGGCAGCCCAGGTTACAGAAGACCCTGTCTGAAAATAAATGTTTGAGTGTGTATATGTGTGTGTTTACACGGAAATATAGGCATACATATATTCCACTGATTTAACTCAGAATTAATTCCCCAACTTTACTTTAACCCATGGAAAGCTTCACAAACTGCAGAGCCACACTAATCTGTATCATTGCATTTTTAGTTATGTGCTGCATAGGCCAGCACTCAATTCTTTAACCCTCTAGCTTTCCACCACAATCCTTGTGCCAACCATTTCCTAGGAAGGGGACTTCTGAACTACTGTCTTTTCTGAAGCTTGCTGCATCTACTTAGTTCAGCTTTTCTTATAAAACTATTTTCTTTCCTGTTTGCGTCCACTCTGTTTTCAGTTAAAGCTAGCTTTCTTCCTTTCCTCCTCCTCCTCTTCCTTCTTCCTGCCTCCTTATTCTTTCCTAAGACAGGATCTCACTATGTAGCTCTGGCTGTCCTGGAACTCACTTTGTAGACCAGGTTGGTCTTGCATTCACAGAGATCCACCTGCCTCTACTTCCCAAGTGCTGGGATTAAAGGCAGGAGCTACTATGCTCAGATGCTAAATCTAACTTTCTTAAAAATGAATTTTTTTTTTGGCTATCTATACTGTCTCACCAGAGTAGTATGTAGAGCCATAAGAACCCACATCTGGTTCACTAGTCTTCACCTATTTACTTCCAGACCAATAATAAATTTCTATTGATGGTTCAATGAACACAGAACAATACTTATTCTACTTCTATAGCATCTGACATTATTCTCTGCTGTCTTTGCTTCCATGACTTCCCCATCCATCTCCTGATTAACTGTCTCTCACTACTGTCTCCTTGCTTTGCCTATATCCTCTAAACATTGGTTTCAGTGTTTCATCTCTGCCTTCACCATGTATTGGATAACTGCATTAACATCTGTGTCTTCTTCATTGACCTCCCACATATCAGCAAACCCTAAACCTCCAGCCTAGACATTTGGGGGGGGGGCTCTAAACTCAAATACAGGCTACTAAATAGCTCCACATTGAAATTCTACAAGTACTTCAATTTTACATCCTAATAATTTACACTAACCCATATGATTCCAGAAGTGCCCTTGTCAGTGAATGACACTGACACCCATTTTTATCACCAAGTCCTCATGGTTCTACATCATCAACATCTCATTATATTCAGGAGATACAACTCATCTTTCAAATGTTATTAGCAGTGTTCTCAAAAGAGGAAAGAACCTAAAATAACACCAAATAAGGGCCTACAGGATAGTGCAGTGATAACATCACTTGCTGCACAAGCCTGGTGAGCTGACTTTGAACCTTGGAATCCACATGGAACATGAAAGAGGGATACCCTACAAAGTTATCCACAGACCTCCACACACATGCTGTGACATGCAGAATCACACACATGCATCATGCACTCACATACACATAATAACAAAACTTTAAAAATAGTGGGCAGAGAGATGGCTAAGTGCATAAGTTTGCTTACTGCTCTTGCAGAAGACCTGGTATTTAATTCCCAGCACCCACACAGCAGCTCACAATTACCTTAACTCTAGTTCTAGGGGATCTGATGACCTCTTATGACCTCCAAGGGCACCTGCATGCACATAGTGCACATACATAGTTCACACACAGCACTCTAACAAGCTAGGTGTGGTGACACACACCTGTAATCCCAGAAATCAAAAGCCTCAAGCAAAAGGACCACAAGGCAAAGGCCAGTCTAGACAAAACACAGTAAGACATGGTTTTATGTTTCAACTTAACACAAGCTAGAGTCACCAAAGATGAAGGAGCCTCAATTGAGGAAATGCCTCTATGAGATCCAAATGTAAGTCATTTTCTCAATTAATGATCAATGGGGGAGGGCCCAGCCCATTGTGGGTGGTGCCATCCCCGGAATTGGTGGTCCTGGGTTCTATAAGAAAGAAGGCTGAGCAAGCCATGTGAAGCAAGCCAGTAAGCAGCTCCCCTCCATGCCCTCTGCATCAGCTCCTGTCTCCAGGTTCCTGCCCTGTTTCCCTCAGTGATGATCCATGATGTGGAAGTGTAAGCTGAATAAACCCTTGTGGTGGTTTAAAAGAAAATGCCCCCACACACAAAGGGAGTATCTATTAGGAGGTGTGGCCTTGTTGGAGAAAGTGTGTCACTGTGGGGGCAGGCTTTGAGGTCTCTTTTACTCAAGCTTCCCTCAGTGTGACAGTTAACTTCCTGTTGCCTCCAAAATGTAGAACTCTCAGCTATTCCTCAAGCACCATGTCTGGCAAGCACCATGATGATAATGGACTGAACCACTGAAACTGTAAGCAAGCCCCCTCAATTAAGTGTTGTCCTTATAATAGTTGCCATGGTCGTGGTGTCTTTTCACAGCAATAAAAGCCTTAAGACAACTCTTTCCTCCCCAACTTGCTTTCAGGTCATGGTGCTTCACTATAGCAATAGAAACCTTAACTAAGATACCTGGTTTCAATAAATAAATATAATTAACCCGTAGAATCAGAAAATGCACTAGATCATTAAATACTTAAAAACCTGCTTACTGTGATAAACTGAAATGAACTAAAGTTCTGTTTCCCATTTTTTAGCTTATGTAAATATTAGAAATTAAAGCTGCAGACATAGATTAGTGGGAGGGCACTTGCCTAACATACTTAAAGCTTTGAGTTTGATCCCTAGTATCACAAGAAAAAAATTAAATTTAAACACTAGAAATATTTAGAATATGTTGCAGAATGTTTGTTTAACTGTGTAAAGATACGTTGCATTTGTTTAACTATGTAAAGATGTGTTGATGTTTTAAGTTACCTAATTACTCTAATAAAAAGCTGAATGGCCAATAGCAAGGGAGGACATATAGGCAGGACTTCTGGGCAGGCAGAATAAGTAGGAAGAGAAATTTAGGCTCTGGGAAGAAAGAAAAAGACACCAGGGGCCAGACAGACAGACATGAAGGAAGCAGGAAAGTAGGACATACAGAATGAAGAAAAGGTTTTTAAAGCCCCAGGCAAAACACAGATGAACAGAGACAGGTTAAATTAAGTTAAGAGATCTTATGGGATAAGCCTAAGCTAAGGCCAAGTATTTATAATTAATAATAAGTCTCTGTGTCTTTACTTGGAAGTTGGTTGGCAGCCCAAAAGCAAACTACAAAAATATCCCCAAGAGAAGGGCCATTTGAAAAAAAAAAAAAAAAATGCTATTGTGACACTCCACACTCACTGAAGAGTTCATTAGTTTCTTTTCAATGCAAGTGTGAAAGAATGTCATTAAAAACATCATCAGAGAGATGGAAAGATGGCCTAGCAGTTAAGAACATTTGCTGCTTTTGCAGAGTGTCCAGGTTTGTTTTTCAACACCCACATGGCAGCCCCTAACTGCCATATTTCAGTTCCAGAGAATACAGTGCTGGCCTTCAAGGGCACCAGGTAAGCGATGGTATGCAGATACATAGGCATACAAAATACTGATACACGTTTTTCAAAAAACCCATCAGGATTGGCAACGTACTTGCTTAACGTGCAGGAAGTCTGGGTTCAATCCCCAGCATCTAATAAACCCAAAATGCGTTAGCTTGGATGTATAATCCTTGCATTTGGGAAGCAGAGGCAGGAGGGTCAAGCTCAAGGTCAATGTCAGCCACATATGGAGTTTGAGGCGAGCCTGGGCTACACCAGGGCCCTGCCTGAAACAGACACATCAGCAGTTTTCCTTGCCTCTCCAGACTATCTAACCTTATTTGGCATTTCTCTTGCTCAAACATCTCACTCTACGGTAGCTTAGTTACCTGAAGGCCCATTCAATATTGCATCTTCTGAGATGAATTCTATTCCCAGCTTTTTCCCGTTCTCCATATATGCATTGCACAGTGTCTTATTGGGAAGAACATTGTAAAAATCGTGTGCTCCACTTTTAATTTCCACCTAATAAACAACAACAAAAAAAAGACAAAACAAAACTCAAGCCACTAAGTCCAAAAGAGTGATGGTTTCTAACAGGAAAAGTTTTAGGATGGGCACTTTCATCACAGATATAAACCCTCACAAATCTCTTACCTTTAAAGACAGTGCATTATACAGTTAGAATTCCTAATACCCCATTTGCTCTGTCACACAAGCACCACACACCACAGACTGTCACTAAACCCCATCCTGGCCGGCAAGAATCAACTTCAGGCACCTAAAAAAGGGTATATCGAGTGCCCAGAAACATCCATTTTAAAACCTGAACTTCTAGGTAATTCTGATGCAGGTAGTCCAAACCACTTTGGTGGACACTGCTTATACTTCAGTCCTCAAAAGGAAAAGGCTGAGCATCTAAACAAGTCAGCACACTTAACCCAGAACCGTCCCTCATATCACAGCCTTCTCTCAGAGTGACCCTCATACAATGCAGACTCTCTAGTGAGGCAGGCTCACGACAGGCCTGATTGTAGATGTGAGTATGTGAAGACACAGAAGCAGTTTCTATGTGACTGTGTAAGTGCACTTGACAGTTTTTGTTTTCAATAAGCAAAAGCTAATTATCAAACAGCAGAGATCAACTTTCTTCTATTCCTAATATCTAGGTTAGGAATAATGACAACAAAATTCTTATAAATTAGCCAAAATATACATTAGTAAAAGGCTACTTAAAATAGATTTAACTCCAACAATAAACCCTATGTTTGTTTGTGTGCATATATGTTCATGTGAAAGACAAAGCAAGCCCAGGTGACATTCATCAGGAGTCTATCCTCTTTGGGTTTTGAGACAGGGCCTCTCTTTTTTTGCCTGGAATTCACCAAGGAAGCTAGGCTGGCTGGCTAGTGAGGCACAGAAATCTGCCTATCTCTGCCTCCTCAGAGTTGGGGGTCACAAATGCACTACACCACAGCTGCCTTTTTAAAGTGGGTTCTGGAGCTCAAACCCAGGTTCCCACCTTGCAAAGCAAGTGTTTTGCTGACTGAGTCCAGTCCCTAAGTGCTAGCTTAGAGAATACCCTGAGATAGTTCACATATCTAACTTAAAAACATGTAAATTATTTATAATTATAAGGGAATAAATATTTTGTTTCCATGGGTTGTGGGAGATTTACAGTTATTCACTAAATCTCTTTACAAATGGACTAAGAGGACAAGTCCTTACTCCTATACTTATCCATGTATTTATCTATTCACAAGAAAAGTTATGAGTGTTTATACATTCTCATCTTTCCAACTACATTCCCTGCCTGAGATCTCTCTGTTGTTCATATATCTGAAGTATGATTACCCTTCAAAGCTCAATTAGGTTTGCAATCTTCCAGGAAACCCTCTCCTTCCATCCCACCACCTGGGAACTGGGAACTGAACCCAGGGTCTTGTGTTTGCCGGGCTGACCTGAAACTTTCTTAACTGCTCTGTTCCTCCCAACACTGTCCATTCTTAAGAAGTACACACTATGAGGATAACTGCTGAGACACTACCACCATGTGAACAAACCACATACTGCTAGACCAAGGACAGAACAAAAGGAAGGCTAGGCTGTGACCTCTTCACAGATGTTATTTCATTTGTCTCTCACAAGAGACCTGGAGCGATTTCATTTTACCCTTATTTTTTGAGAGAGAAACAGCCCCAGAGATACTATGTTTATAATGACCTAGAGACACAAGGATCTTCTATCTCTCTAAAAACATCTAAGATCTTGTCTCTCCAACCCAACTGCAATATTTGAACTTCATGTAACTGTAAGCCTCATCCCATGTTTCAGCAAACATGGCTGATAGTAAAATGTTTCTGACCTTACAGTTCCAGACAACAAAGTCTCCTTTGTTCTAAGTCTATCTTAATTTCCATTCCAGCAAGCCAAACACACATTCATATCACATCTTTGCCAAAGAGATATACAAATATTGTTATAAAATGCCCTTTATGGGAATTACACAACGTGATGTAAAAAGACCGGGATTCTAGCACAGGAATATGCTAAGTACTCTAGCTATTGTCTAAGTAAGGTGACCTGTATGTAGTACTTTCTATTGGAGACACCGAGGAAAAAGTATAGGAATTAAATGGTAATTAAAAGATTAACTAAATATTACATTTTCATTAAAGGATTCACATTAAAAGTTTAGCCAACTCATTTTTACAGATTCAAGACATCAGCAGTGTGGGCAAGGCCCTGAGACAGGTCCCCAGTACCACCACTGTCACAAACAAAAATTACCACATAAATAAAGAACCAATGTAGGCTTTAATGCAGCAACACAAACAGCCACAGCCCACATGTAACCCATCATAATTAACTCCAAAACACTCTTACTGTGCAGCCTGTAGCCAAAGCTGCAGCTCTGAAGGAATCTTCTGCCTTTTTGGTCAAAACTTGAAGCTCTTTCATTGAGGGCGCACGGAAGTAATAGATTAATTCAGAGTAAGAGGGGATGATATTGGGCTTTACACCACCATTTTTTATTATACCTATAAAAAGAACCAAATTACTAAAGTTAAATTTGATGATTTGCTTAAAGTTTTGCAGCCAGTACAAACAGGAAAATAATTTATACTTATTAGTTTCACTGGTAAATCAAAGATTTAACATGCTGTAAATACTTTCACAGAGAGGTGCTATTTCCCAGCTAATAAGGGAAAGTTGTCTGTATGTACTTTATTCTAAGGAATCTATTTAATGTTAAGAAATTATAATTTGGGCTGAAGGTAAAGTTCAACAACAAAGACTTGACTAGCCTCCTTGAGAGTCTGGGTTTAACTCCCAGAACTGTAAAGAAAGAAAAAAAGGAGGTGAAGAAGGAAAGATTACAATCTAAATTATAAAGAAATACACAAAAGAAACAGTAATATCTTAAACTTTCTGAAGGAAATTTATCTCAGTAGGCTTTGTTACAGTTGTGCAATCTGATAAACTCTTGACACATTTTTTTACAATGGCATTAGGCTCTATAACTACTACCCTATTTGGGAAAACCCTACAAATATTTTAAATTACATTTAGCAGTGGAGAAATACTTCTCAGCGTTTTGGCTACAATCATGTATAGAAAAAAAAGACCCCTGAATATTACAAACTATCAAAACATACATTTTTGGGGGACTGCACAAAATGAAGATTTATTTGTTTCTACCAATAACTAAAACATATAGTATCTAATTCCAGTCAGCTGTGCAACTCTATAATCCCAGCACTTGAGAAGGAGGCAGGAAGATCATGAGTTCAAGTTAATCCTTGTCTATAGCCTAGACTACAGGAGACATCGTTTTAAACAGAAAGATAGACAGACAGACAGACAGACAGACAGACAGACAGATAGATAGATTGAATTCCTCATTATCTAAATTTGTCCACTCCAATCCCTTTTGAGGAAATTAAGGCAAGTAGCAAGATGGGTTAGGCCTTTTAGTTCCAGCACTCAAGAGGCAGGTGGATCTCTGTGAGTTCAAGACCAGCCTGGACTATAAGAACTAGTTCCAGGACAGCCTCCAAAACCACAAAGAAACCCTGTCTCGAAAAACAAAACTAAATATCATGTGGTGGCTCATGCCTATAATCCCAGACTGTGCTACTATATTTATATATACAGAATTTTAAGAGTGTACTATGTTCCTGAGTAAATAGAACTAGTAACCACCACTTTCCTTTTGTTTTTGTTTTGTTTTGTTTTTTGAGAAAGGATCTCAGTTATCATAGTTTGCTCTCATATTTACATGTGGTTGAGGATGATCATGAACTTGTGATTTGAAGTACTAGAATTACAGGTATGTGACACATGCCAGGTTTTATGCAATGCTGGAATCATACCCTGCCTGTCTGAGCATTCCACTAACTGAACTACATCCCCAGGCCCCAATTTTTATTGTTGTTGTTGTTTTCTGTTTTTCCCGAGACAGAGCTTCTCTGTTTAGCACTGGCCATCCCGGAAGTCACTCTGCAGACCAGGTTGACTTTGAACTCAGAGATCCACCTGCCTCTGAGTGCTGGAATTAAAGGCATGTGCCACTAACACTTGGCTTCCAATCCCCCCACCAAAAAACCTATGTATTTATAGTATTAAATAATTTTACTGCGCTAAGATATATTACCATTTACTATACAAATATTTTGCATGTATACCATGAAGTCTCCAGGTTGGTTTCATCTGTTGTCTTAACACAGAGAGATTGTTATAGGCGAGAACTGCAGCATCTAAGGCATTGACTCCCTCCCAAGGATAAGCAGCAGCATGAGATGCCTTTCCATAGTATTTCACAGTAACACTAGGAAATAGAAGAAATCACTGAATATTACTTCCTCCATTATCACTAGAATAAGAAAATTCAATTAGGTGTGTGTGTGTGTATTTAGTGTAGGTATCAACAAAGGTATAGTTCAGTTGATAGAATGCTTGCCTATCATGTATGCAGCCTAGGGCTCAATCTCTGGCACCCCATAAAACCAGGTATAGTGATGTAAACCTGTAATTTCAGCACAGGGAGACAAGAGGATCAGAAGTCCAGGTCATCATCAGCTATATAGCAAATTTGAGGCTAGCCTAGGATACACAAGACTTCTTAAATCAACAAACAAAAACAGGAAAGCTGTGCTGGGAACATGGCTCAGATGGCAGAGTGCTTACTTCTCTAGCATATATAAAGTCTTAGGCTCATTCATTCCTCCAGAACCACACAAATAAGACATGGAGGTACACATCTGCAATCCCAGCACTCAGGTAGTAGAGGCAGAAGAACTAGTGGTTCAAGGGCAACATCTGCTGCATAGTGAATTCCAGGCAAGCCTGAGATATGTATCAGACCATAACTGAGGGGCAGGGTATGTGGAGCCAAGTCGACTGACTTTAAGATCCAGCCAATGAGGCCTAAATCTAATTCTAATACTCTGGGAAACCTGTCTACAGCTTTCAGGCCCCCTCCAGCCAGAAGTACTGGCAAAAATTTGGAATCTCTAATATTTTCCCAAAATACACAGATAAAACTATAACCACCCCCCATAAGAAGTGAATTGTCTCTACTCCCAGAGTACCGATTCAGAATTGATAAGGATGAAGATTATAGCAATTAAAATTACCACCTTCTGAAAACAAGTATGGTCGAGCTCAGAGAGGTGAAATTCCTGAGCACAACGACACTGTAGGGATGGTTCTATTACCACTCCCTATAGTCTCAGCCACTACAGAAATTAGCTGACACAGCCTAGCAGTGGCTTCTTGGGACTAGACCACTAACCCTACAACTTCTCTCACTGTCATTTATGGTTAAAAATCCACACCTGTTCAATAACACATCCTTCTAGATACAAGAGACTAACCTCCTCCAGTTCCTTAAAACCAAGCTAAAGACAGTATGGAGAAGTGCTTTATTCCCAGGTCTAATAAAACTGTCTCTTGAAAAGACAATTCCCTATGAAAGAACAACTGTTTTACAGAAACCGGACTAAATTCAAAAGAGAACACAAGTGTTTGATGTGGTGATATTTTGTTTATGATCTAACAAATAAAGCTTGCCTGAGGATCAGAGGGCAAAGCTAGCCACACCAGTTAGCTATACAGGAGAGGCAGTGGTGGCACACACATTTAATCCCAGCACTTGGGAAACAGAGGCAGAGGTGAGTTCAAGACCACCCTGGGCTACACGAGATTGAATCTATCTAAACCAGAAACAGAGCTCACACAAAGGTGATCCCAGCACGTGGGATCTCACGACTTTAACCCCAGCACTGGGGAGGTGGAAACAGGAGTGATATGGCTGGGCAGAGAGAGGAATATAAGGTAGGAGGATATAGGAGCTCAGTGCAGTCTGAATAGCAGTGCAGTCTAAGCAGTCTGAGGATGCAGTCTGAGGACAGGAACACTCCTTTGGTCTGAGCACTGGTAGAGTTAAGAGCTCCTGAGTGGATGGCCGATTTGCTTTTCTGACCTCCAGCATTAACCCCAATATCTGACTCTGAGATTTTATTATTAAGACCAAAGAGAATTTGTGCTACAGTTCAATATCCCTGTTAATAATCCTTCAATCATTCCATTGTGACCATAATAACAAATCATGATTGCCAAAAGCCATTCACTGTAAATCAAACATCACATCATTTATCATTCATTTCGCAGGGTCCTCCTGTGCAGTCCACACTGGCTCAAACTCAAACTCCTCTTGCCTCATCCTTCTGAGCAATGAGATTACAGGTGAGCAGCAGCATGCTCAGGTCATGTCACTTTTTAAATGTATAAATGCAGAGTTTTAGTGTCCAGCTTAGTTTCCTTTTTTAAATTATGTCTGTGTGTGGTGGGGGAGTGGGGTGTGTATGCAGTGGAACAACTCTGTTTGCTATGATGTGATGTGGGCTCTGGCAACAGAACTAGGGTCACCATGCTTATATGACAAGTGCCTTTAACCACTAAACCATCTCACTGCCCTAGCTCTGAGTTCTCTTCAGTCTGCTATCTACCAGGAAATTATCTTCAGTGTGAATACTTACTCATGCTCGGCCACATCCAGTAGATAGGCAGCATCCTCTTGAGATGGATGAGCCATAAAAACAACATCAAGGTCTTTAAAAGCACCAGCTTCAATTAAATCAATTTTGCCACCACCGTCTTCTTCTGCAGGGGTCCCCAGGACAATGACCTAGGAGGAAATACATATGCTAGCACAAAGAGATTCCAAACATGAAAACATTAAATAGGTTTTTAGCGAATATTCATTCAGAACATATACCTAAGTCCTTAAACTCTGACACTTATGCAGTGAATAAAAATATATGGTAAAGAATCCCCAATTTTAATTTGTATTGTTATAGTAATCTGGTATAAATGCATGCTGGAAATGCTATAGGAAAATTTCCCCAGTTTTATAACTCAATTTTAACTAAGTTATAACAAAGACAAATAAGTAGAATTGTATGTACTTAGGTTCTTCAACATTGCTAGGACTTTTCTGTTAAAGTATCTTCACCCTAAGCCTGTTATCATACTATGTGACAGATATCTGTATATAGTTAGTCACAGCTTCACTGGTAAGAAGCTTGCAAGTGACCTGTGACCCTCGAAACACCCCTGTGAGGTAGGGAGCAGTCTGTACCAGTTCTGTACAAGTTCAAAGAGGCTTAGGCTTCCCAGTTACAGAGCAGGTGTTCAGAGTGGCAGTTATCTTAGAGAGCTGTCCTGTACTTCAGCTTGGAACTCTCACTCCTTACTGAGAAACCACTTTAAAAGTCCTAACTCTTTAACCTTTCATTGAGGAGCGTTAAGCAATCTCAGTACCATGGTTAGAAACCGCCAACTATTTCACAAACTTACTAATTCGATTCCACCAGTTCAACCAGGAAGATTTAATGGTCACCAAACACCTAATCAAACAAAAGAGAACTTTACAGAATAAACATTTTACTTTGATATTTAAGCTTAACTGCAATTTTTTAAGCAACGACAAATTATCTGCATGAAATTAATGTATTCTCAAGGTCATATATAAAAATACAATGAAATAAGCTGGGGTTAAAAAAAAAAAAGGCTTTACTTGCAAAGGGAGTCCACTTATAGTCCACAACCATTTGAAGTTGGCATATTTCTCAAAGTCTGGCTGTGTTTGTTTTAAAATTTATCCAAACTCTTACATTGAACTGCTTTGGGGGTGGGAGGCATTGAGACAGGTTCTCTCATTGTAATCCCAACTAGCCTAGGTCTCCACAACACCTGGCCACTGAGCTACTCTCTTCTCTCAATCTAATGGATTATTGTCGACTGCTGAGAACTTTTTTCTAAGTCTGTCCAGGGTCTCACACCCTCCCAAACAAAACAAAAACCCAGAGGCATAAAAGAGAAGGTAGCTAAAGAGAAAGGGCCACAAGAGATAAACTGTTGTAGAGGATTACTTTCACTGGGGTGGGGGGACCGGCTGAGTGACAGAAGGTTCTCGCCTCACAGACTGAAATAACTATACAGTCTGAAAGAGTAGAGTAACACAAAACAGACACGCACGGCATTCTGCTTAAAGAACAGAGACGCTTCTTGTAATTGTGAAATTACGATTAACAGTTAAATATGAACCCATCTACGTAGTAAATGTTAATTCGCCCGTTATTTCTACTCTTTGCAGAGGTTTGGTAGTCTGGTAGTTCTAAAAGACTGAAATTTGCGATACCAATTACTCAAATCAAAATCTTTGAGTCTACAAAATTTATTTCGTCCAGAGATCGCACAACTTAGCAAACTGCAGCT